TTCTTACGTGCAAAGTGCACTTTATTACCGTCGCGATATCTCGATAAGCATTCTTTCGCACGCTCGCGATTAACGCACGGAAATTCAATTAAAATCTCGTTACGAAATGTGGAATTATTCGAAATAGCGTAACGCGCCGCCGTCTGTTCTTGTTTTCTTTTCCAAAGTCAATTAGAGTCTATTAGATTTTCAATTAGGCGCGTTAGGTCGAAATGAGAAGGGATGGACGAAACTTTATCCGGAGTGGGACATTACGGGAATACGAGTTTGCAGTGCGGGGTTAATTCACTTGTCGTTCGCAAGACTATAACAATGTGGTTAGAACACACGGTGATTCTATTGTGACTACGATGGAGCAAGAAGGCCGCGCTCTACCGAGACTACCCGCACTGCGTTTTACTATCGATTCTGCCGACGTTTCCGCGGAGCGTGTCTACTCGTCTCTCCTGACCTTTCCGAAGTTACGTGCTAACAATACCTCCGTTGGAATTGCCGGGCGAATCCCGAAGAACGCGAAGGCCCCGCGCTTCTGAAAGACGCGCGAAAAGGAAAGAATCGGATGCGATTTTCGTATCTACAAAAGTTCCATTAGTTCCGTTCTCGCTAATGAAGAGCAACTTTCTACGTCGAAATCCATCGACAGATTACGTCGGACAAATTAGTTTTGCCATCACCTTTTGTCTATCGCAGAGAATATCGGAAGAGGAATCAACTAAATCGCGTCTTCCGACACAAACGTGTGCGGACATATAAACGTAGAATGCATGACCTATTCTGTATGCACGAATGCACGACATGCACACAGACGAATTACATGCATGCCATTGTGACCCGCTTGCAAATTTAATTGTGTCGGTTTTCGCTCGACTATTAAGCTCCTATTCATGGCGTTTTGTGTGTATCTGAGTACATTTTGTACTCGACGCATCAAGAATTGGAATACGAAAAGTGTGTGCTTCAGCGCTAGTTAAATTTCGATTATTATTATTGCGTCCTGAAGGAAAACACGATTGTGTTCCATAATACACACTGTATATAAGATAATAATTATGGAAAGTGTATCGACTCGCGCGCGGCGACCGGATATTAATGAGTTCGCTTAACTGGAAATGTTGATTTATCAGGTTAATTACTCTTATCGTCACGCACACACAAAATTCCTTTTTTATCTCCAATGGATATAATAAATTTAGCGAATTGCCCGCATAGAAAATGCAGAATTATATTTAAATATCTACAGATATTTATTTCAATCGGTATCTAAATAGAAAACCGTACTAGAAAATTTCTATCTAAACAAAAACCGTATCTAAAAAACTTTAATACGATACAATATGCATATTATTTACGAATAAATAAGTATGCTATAAACGTGAAATAAGACTCTTTTTAGAATCTACAGCTTTATATTCTATCTGCATAAATATACACACATACATACGTCATAATTTTTCGCAGAGTTGTAAAAATCTGCTGAGCGCGCATCACTTATGAGTGTTCGCACACGGATAATATGTTATGCGATGCGTAATGATATGTAACTATTGCGTTACTACGATCAGCTGATCAGCTAGGCGATAGTGTGAGGTAGGTCACGGTTCTGTAGGTCACTAACTGTCTATACAGAACACTGCTATTGGCAGTCCGACTTCGGCCTACTTCGGGATCGAGATTTAATCGACATGAATCGATATAACAGTTCGACAAAAAATTTCTTTTTTAAGACAAGAATGCGAGTTATATTTCTTCACGCTCGCATTTCCCACGCGCGTGATTCGACGTGCCTCTTAACACGGCTTCGCAGTCGTGATTTTTGCAGTCGCGAACGTCTTTCAGACGTCGTGCGCTTTGCAGTGGTGATTTTGATATCGAAAGATTAAAACTTATATGCGTTCATGTAGCATTTTTCAAAACTTCGTAAGAGAGAATGGTCGTTCCAAGTCGTTTTCTCCGAGAATAAACAGAAAAGTTGAGTGCAGGTGCGACATGCGGATTCGGAATCCTTCAAATTTTATCCCTCAAATCGATACGGTACGCGCGCACCAGAAACTGCATGCCGAGGAACGAAATAGAGAATCGTTAGAGCGTCTGAAATAGCGGTGGGAAGCGGGAATTGGAACACCCCGAGCACGTATACCTGTGATCGATTGATGTCGTACTAAATTGAAAGATTCTGATAAGGAACAGTCTGATGCTTCTCCCTCTTGCTAATTCAGCAAAGATAAGCAGTGTATTTCGTGGGAAAGCTATGGTTATCGTTCCGGCGAAAACGCATTTGTCAGCAACTGCGCGCGAGCCAGCCCCGATAACGAACGTAATTAACGTCGAGTTGTCGACAGGGTTAAGTGGTCACGGATCTAATAAGCGTCGACAAACGAACGAAATTATCCGAGCAATTGTAGGATGAATTACGAACTACGCGCGAGCAAACGCTCCCACGCGCTGCGTGGACAACGACGAGAAGCCGCTTTCGCGCGAGTGTCGCGCATGTTAAAATCTGGGGCGCGTGGTAACTCCGTGTTTTCGCGAGAAAACGCGACTCTCGTTCTCGCTTAATGCGCGCCGTTTTCTTTTTACGCACGACGGTTTCGAAAACCTCTCTGCATAATGTCGCGATCGCGCCACCACACTCTTCTCTCTTTCGTCGCGTGCGATGAACAGCGCAATAAATTTATCGTCGAAAGACGCTACTTCTCAATACGATCAATCGCGCTGGATTTCCGGCTAATTGTGAACGTTTTCTCGTTAACCTTATTATTCTATCCGGAGAGTTAATTGACCTTGTTTCGATTTCACGTCGAGCCGGCTCGCCTTCCACTAGCAGGCACGCTGCTGATTAAAGTCACGTAGCAATTGGTGTGTATTGCACGATATTGCGCGACGATTTCTGCATTTCGTGTGAAACGCGATCGACAGGATCGAGTCATTATTATTGGTGTCGTCTATAAGACTGCTCTGATTGTTGGAGCATATTCAGATTCTGAAATGAAAGATTATTTACCGAGTTTTATTACAACTCGCATAAAAGATTCAAACGACTTGTATGATCGAACCGTTCGAACAATCCGAAGCAGAAACGTTTCAACTTTTAGCTTTGAATAGCTTCGAACATGGTAAAATATGTAAATGAGAATATTTATGAAAAAAACAAGATTTATCGATTAAGTTTTATTCTCTTTTCGTATGTGGCTTAGTTTTATTTGCATCGAGGCGAGCAGATTTGTACGAAGTACGTATAATATACGTCTAATTTCCAATCCCAAAAAATTTAAAGATATAAAAGTTATAAAAAAAAGTTGGAAACGCGGTTGAAACTGTTCGAGAAATTTGGGGCGATATTTCGTTGAGAAACGGGGATCGTCGAGAGCTTCTCGCTTGATAGTGAGAATTAGAGCGGCATAGAGCTGCCTTTATCGATCGTGTCCGACTGGAAGGTCTCCCAGTTGATTTAGCGGCGCAATTCGCGCGATTCTCAGGTGCATTCAACGGTGCATCGTCGAAGGCCGCCGGTGTCTTATACGGGCGCGAGGCGAAAGGGTACAGGCGACACGTTTCGAAGGATACCACTTCACACTGGCGAAGTCGAGATCCACGCGAGGTCGGTACGCGAGGTTATTACGGCGGTATTTTGGAATCGATGCTGCAACTTTCAGCAACGTCAATTACGAACGCGCATTTACGCGACTAACGAGCCGATCAATCGATTATTCCGAACGAAGGAATATAAAAAAGGATTTATGCTCGGCCGTGTAACGCGCGATCGAAAGTTCAGAATCTCATTAGCTGCCACGTAAGAGCGATTTATACGACTACTTCGTCTCGTGCTTGACACCGCATACCGCGATAAGGATTATCACGCGAAGTAAATTCGCTCTCGAACGATCAAGATCTCACGATCCAGATTAGATGCTACTATATTTGACTCTCTCTCTTTGCATGTTTACTGTAAATGCATCAATGATGACGAAAGTGATTTAAATAAACTCGCGCGTTCGAAAACGGGTTCTCCGTCCGTCAGAACTCTTCGCGTTCCTTTGAAAAGAATTCCCATAGGGAGACCCGCGTGTCTCTATTTTCGCATATTGATCGAAAGGTATTACATGTTCGCAACACCTGGCCGATAACGGCCGCCGGCGTAACAAGTTTTGTCCGTTTTGTCCGCGGGTACAAAAACATCTCCTTTGGGAATTCGCTTGACAAACACTGAAAAGTCACTGTTTCAAAGGCATTGTTTTTCATGCACGCAGAGAAAAGAACGAAGCGTCATTCCATCACGCGTGTTGCGTCATCCGCGTGAAAGGTGGTAAGCGATAAATATCATCGTGCCTCCGTGTGTAATAAGATAATGTGCGAAATACGAGCACTCATCCAGCATGCATCAGATACCGAGTAGGTAGATTATCACGAATATCATGCGCGGTTTCTAATTCGCCGATAACTGAATTCTTGAGAATCAAAATACGAGGAATATTATTATTCGGAAAGGTCTGAGTAAGCTCGAAGAGATTGAACAAATAAGAACGTCGATGATGAGAGGCACGAAATGTGCCGTATACTACAAAAACATTGATATATGATTAGCGATATCGTGTCAATCGTATCATCCGACATACATAATTCTTGATCGATGTGTATTTGACATACGTGTGTATTCTGATTCATGAAATGTTTTCGGGGTGTCGCAAAGACTGTAAATGGAATTTTATTTGCGTATTGCGAATAATACTGCTCACGCAATATTATCGTTTAAAGTAGTCACGATGCACAATTGTATCAAATTTCCATTAAACCAGTGGAGAATATTCAGTTAATTAATTCGCGTAGCTAATGCATCTCCTTAAATAACACTAGTCGCTATTGGTCGAGCAGCGAGAAAACGCGTAGTGTCCGCGAGTGGTGTCTGCTCTACGCCTCGTGAACGGTGAGCGAGAACGAGCGTCGGAGCGAAGAAGACGGCTCGATCGCCCGTCCGGCGCGTAAAACCAAGCACGCCGCGCGAGGCGTCTCAGTCGCTGTACCGCGCGCGCGCTGTAAACGCGATATTACGCACGAGTACGCAGATCGTTTCGTCCGTCGTAAGAACGATCGAGAGTGCGGCCGCTCCCGAGAGTGTAATAACCGTGCGCGTCCGCTGAACGTACCGAGGAAGCCGAGGAGAGAAAGAGAGCTCGTTACAACCGCAGGGCGCTGCCGCGAGCTTGAGGTTGAGGTTGAGGTTAGGGACGTCGCCTGGAGTGCGGTTTGTGGTGCATCGTGATACGTTACCGCCCGCCCGCGCCGCGCGCGCGCAGGCCACGTCGGACTCCGGAGAGCAAGTTGTGCACGCGGTCGCAACTGTCAGTTTTACATTCAGCTGGTAGAAACACTGGCAAGAGCGAGGCGCCTAATGGCGTAACGGCGGCGATTGTGGAGATCAACGCGGCACAACGGAGACACAGCGGGGACGCAAGAAAGAAGCGAGCGAGCGATCGTGCAGAGAGTGACGTAAGGTAACGGATCTCCTCGCGGATGCGTAACTTTCGTTGAGCGGGGTTAGAGGGGGACCATGAGAGAGAGAGAGAGAGAGAGAGAGACGGGATACATTACGCAGATTGCGGCCGAACATGCTGCGATTTAACGCTCACGTTGTCGATATTTCGTTCACTCATTTCGTTACGATACGATAGTGTCCCTTTCGCAACTTTTCGCAGCTACATCACTGTAATCCGATTCTTTATCTTAATTATGTTTACACACTTTTTCACGTGTTAGCACACGTCACTTTCGAGTGTCGTTATCATTTTTCATTTTGTATCGCGCTTACGTACGAATGCCACGCCACACGTTCGGAAAGCCATAACCTTGCGCGTTCAAGCTGAAATAATGAAATTGCTGCGAAATCAAAAGGTACATACAATTCAATGAAAGTCTACACTATATAATACACGCGCTGTATAATGCATGGACACACATCATGGTTGCGTGGAGAGCACGCGGCGGAGGAGACGCGGGATTGTCTTACTACCTGTTATTCAGGGGCTCGTTCCCACGGTATCCTCGGTTCACGCTCGCACGAGTGTGTGTAAGTACACGCGAAAGAGAAGGAGGAACAAAGATAGGGGCGCACCGCCGAATATTATTCGGCTTTCGGTGTGTTCGTGACGCGCTTTGGACGCGCTCGCCGCACCCCGTTTCGCGCGACCTTGCATTTGAGCCACTAAATATACCGGTTTTTTCTATAGGCGCTGTCACGATTCTCACGCGTGTTTCCTTTTTACGCGCGGCGTTTCTTCTGCTCTCCTATTTACACGCGTATTGTTTTTCCGTTTATATCACCATTTCTAGGAATAAATTCCTCAAGCGAGAACTCTCTTGAATTCCGTCGTCGTAATTGCTTCGTATTTCGTGTCGACAGAATTTTCCGCACTGATAAATCCATCCATCAGTGGCCGTTCGAGATGTAATAAGTTTTTCAAAAAAATAAATCTTATCGCGCAGACGCGGTCAACACTCCGTGCGAGCACTGTCTCATTCCCATTGCGTTCATCACGTTATATTCATACGTGTTATACGCTGAGGAATGTATCGTTGCTGGCTAAAAGATTATCCGCGCCTCTAACAAACGAGGTCGCTGTCCTCGCCTCGCGACAAATAAACCAACGAGATAGCATTCATCTAAACGATTGCATGCTGAAAATTCCGTGCTCGAGATAAATCCCTTCGTCAACCTGCCGAGAAGACTCATCAATCAAATTCAATAATTCGCATTAATATAATTAACAAGTTTCTATAAGATGTTTTTCTGCTTAAGTGTATTTTTTCCCGCAAAATATACAGAATAAATTCGTAATCTTAATGTCAACAATACATTCTTCGATGAAATGAAGTCGATCTTTAGATGAAAATATTCAGACGATATTGAAGTTATAAGCCTCTACGAAAAAGTAGAACTTCTTGCGGATTACGTCACAAGAGATGAAAATAAACAATGAAACCATTTTCCTCAGTCAATTTCAAGTAAACTAAACTTTTGCGCAAAATTTTAGTTTGAAACTTAATAATAAAGATATATGTGATGTGATCGAAAAGTTACGATAAACAATAACTTGTCTTAACTTTTTTATTAAGGATTGATCTCAAATTACTCAGAGAATGTCTGTTCTTAAAATTAATATCGCGAGTTGTAAAACGTCATGAAAGACACATTTGACACGTATAAGAAAAGTACAGTCGAAGAAACGCAAAGTTTTTAGCGTCACTTGAACGAGATCGTAAAACGTTCGTAAAGTGAAGAGGTCGTAAGCTATATCTGATAGCGTTCAAAGTTGCAATTCCCGATAGATTTCAGAAAACTTTCTTGTTTTTTTTGTTTTTTTTACGCACAACGTTTGGGATTACGTATCGATAATGAGTGCAAAAATTAACAAAAATTAAAGCGGAACGAATGGGAAAAAAAGACGCGTGCACGGAATTGCTCTCGAAAATTCGTAAGTCCGAGTTCGAGAAAAGTCTCGTCAATCCTTCCTTCTGCGAGACTTTTTCACGGTGACGTGCCGAATCTCACCGGACGCGGCTAAGAGCGGAGAAGAAGGTGAGTCACGCAGGCTGAAAACTCGTCTAAGACTCGCTTGCACGAGCAAAACAACGAGGAAGCCCCAGTTCGGCGGAAACGAGAGATAAAAGGCGTGCGCGAGAGCTAGTGGCTCCCTGCGGTTTATGTGCGACAGAGCGACGGACAGCCTCGGTAGGGACGTGTATCTACATGAACCGCCTGAGTCATCGCCTCTAAAAGTAGTCGTTGATAAACAGGCTTCTTACGAACGAGATACGATGCGTGGCGACTTTCGGTCTTTTTCGATCTTAACCCACGAGGTCGACGAGCAGACTTTTTATATACACACACACATTATATATATATATATATATTTTATTTTTTTTTTAATTTTAGACCGAAGAGACTGCTCAAACCGAAGACTCTCGACAACACCGCGCCGCTTTCGGACAGGTAGTCTTTAAGTAGTCTCTCGGCCCGACGCGGAGAATCGGTTCGCTTTGAGGCTCGCCCTGCGCCGTCCCTGCACACAGCTCTACCACGTGCAGGACGTAATCGCGTGACCACCTACCCGCCAACTCGAAATTACCTTCCTGGAAGGAAAGACGGCGTTCCCACCGACGTACCTGATCGCCCCTCACAATCATTTCGGCCCTCCGGGATCTCTTCGTTCTTTTCGGCAAGTATACATCTTTGCCAAGCTGCGCCTCTTGCGAGGTTACTCTTGCGTCTCTCACGAGAGAGAATCCTACCAATCCCCGTATTCTGATTTCAATCCCTGCGAGACACGCGAGGAAATATAAAATCCTTTTTGCACACAAACGGACTCTTAAACGACGCCGCGATAACGTTTAACGACAAATAATCATTACAAAATGCATATAATGCTTGCAAAACCGTAGAAAAATGTACGACTTTATTTATCTATTTTATTTAGATTTATTATAAAATCTTTCTTTTCATGCAAATCAAAGTAATCTGAACGAACGCAATGGTGGCATCCTCGTTCGAGCGAGAATCGAAGATCGATTCGATTCAGGTGATCCTGCTGGCGCGGCTAAGATTCGCGCAGGAAAAATATTACAGCAGGCGGGCGAGACGTATTATACTTTTATAAAAGTATCACTCGTCGTGAAGTCGGGATTTACGATCCCTGCCACCGTGTTGCCTCGGTCTTGCGGTACTTTGTATTCATATCGTTAAATTCAACGATCGCGCGTTATTCAGGCTTCATGAAGGCGCTTTAACCGCAGTCTTCATCCACGCCGACCTTGCTTGCTCGTTAAAACTCACGTAGCGCGCTGCTCTCGCCTCTCATTTTCTATGACTCGATCGACACTCGATATTCGTATATTTAAGATGAATCGCGTTCTTCGCAGATTTCTTACTACAATCTATAAGTAATGTACAATAAATATAAAATGGAAACGAGGAGATACATTTTTATGCCGCCCACTTTTAACGAGAGCGAAGCACGCAAGGTGTGTTTGTTGCTCCCGTTCGAAATGCAATTCAGAAACTTCTAAGTCAGAACGCGATAATAAATTTTGCAAATTGCGCCCGACTTTGCTTTCCTCAAGTAGCTTCCCTCCGTTTAATCGCGTTTTCAAGCGTTAGCCGTTTTTGCGATTGCGCGCGATTGCGCGCGCTCGTTAAAGTGCGATCCTTAATTACTGGAAACGGACACGCGAGTTTATCAGCTAGCCGAGTACCTATGCGAGAGCGCGTTTTAAATCGAAGATCTGTGTCCGCGGCGATAGATAGCGGGAGATGGACATCCGCGATACTGCGCCATCGCTCAGGAATATAAAATAAGAATTGAAGAAAAAGTTCTGTGTGATCCAGATCTGCGATATGAAAGTCAAAACTGCGCGGGGATCATTATCTCAGCGCTAAATGTTAATTTCCATTGAAAGAAAATACGATACATTAGATACTCGTCACCGCGCGCTTGTTTTTTTTTTCTAGCACGTTTTGCTATACGGATTTCTATGTCAATTTCTTCAGCCGGCGTAATTCAACGTTAGTAGACATTAATGACGAGAAGATGGCGGCAAACAGTGGAAAGTCTCTCCGCGCAATTCCTTCTAATAGTCTACCGACTCCCCTGGCGCTTTTCCCGAGGAACAAGACCGCGTCTGTGGGATTAATCACGAGCGCATTGAAATATTAACACGCAAACATCACGATATGCGCGTAAACTGCGCTTAAATGTTATCCGCACATTGAACAAATTAATATGCAAGTCAGATCTTAATGAATGCAAATGTTTAACATTTTATTCGCGTGTTTCATTTTCTTTCCGGTTAAAAAAGAAAAAAAAGAAACAAGATTACATTAAAAATTTGTAATCTCCTTGGAATATGGAAGATTTATGGCGATTTGCAGAGCTGTACGGCTCATATTGATCCACCGGTATTTCCGCCACGACTGAGAGAATTTTAATAACTTACGGTGGAAGAAACGTTATAATATATAAATCAATATTCGTAAATTCTGCAAGCTCTGCGCACAATTGCCATCAGTACATTTGACAAAGAGATAAAATTAATATGCATACAGCTTTCTATTATTATCATTCGACGTTTTTCTCCGCGAGATCCAACGGTGGTTGCGGTCAGTGAGTGCTCTTGCATGAGTGCTTTCGCGTCGCGTCACCTGAACGACGAGAAGTGTCACTCGAGACTATGGCGCAGCGAGTGACTGTTGAAACGAAAGCTTTTCGAGCTTCCCAACTCTGTTTCGCCTCGCCATCACTCAGCGATGTTAAATGCTGATTTGCTCTTCCAGAAGCTTCCGTTAACAACAGACAGAATTGAGGAAATTTAAGAAATATATATATATATATATATATATCGCTCGATCGCGCCGGCGAGACATTCTCCTCGCGTACGAGAAAGCCAATCGTGTTCCCTTGCGAGTTGAAGCTTTAACCGTGTCGTCCGGTCGGATCTCTCGTCGTCGCTCGAAGTGTATAAGTCGAGACACGTATAGGATGTCAGGATATATCGGTCGGAAGCGACCCGCGGTGTGATCGCACGTCGATTCCAGGACACGATGCGACGCGACGCGACGCGACTAACTGTAAAAATATCGGGGACGTCCTAATCTCCTGTGAAACTTCTTCACGGCGGAGGTACATCGCAGGTGTCTCGCAGTGCCGCGGGCTGTCTTCCTCGCCCCGGCATGAATCTTTCATGAGGTCTCTCCTTCCCTCTCCTTCGCGCATTCTCTTTCTCCCTCGCGTGCGATACGTGTCTTGCTTCGCGGGCCGCATAGATGCACCTTCACTTTTGCCGAGCTGAGCCTGTGCCTGTCGAAAGGCTCACCGCGGTGAGCCCTTTCTCGATATCGCTGAATAATAAGATTGTATTGATCTTCTGTCACTAGGCAGCTAGCTCTGTATTAAATGAGAAACCGATAGTATTTTTCTGTGCTTAAATTTAAATTAGATTTTAGGTAATGTTTATTTAAGCCACTTGTTTCCCTCGTCACGCAAGATATTTTCGAATGACATTTTGTCAAAATTTCATTACTACACGATTATTTTTTCATTTGAAATGTAATTGAAGTTTAACCTCCTTTTATCCATCTTACTTGGCAATAGGCAATTCTTTAAATCGAGAGTAGATGCTTACATATAAACACGCGTACTAAGCTGCTCGTTTCGTCTATCTTACATCAAGCGTTTAATTCAATTGTGCAATTAATTGGACTTTCTCAGATACAAACATGTGTAAATTTTTATATAACATACATAAGTTATAAATAGCGCACTAGCTGTTTGTTTTGAAATATCACAGTTGTCGCGTATGAAAACTAAACGTAACAAAGAACGTCTCGCAACACTTTTAAATGCAGCGTAAAAATACACACAGAGGAAGCGCTGAAAATATATGTGAGAAAAATCGTGTTGTATAGCGCATCAAAAGCCACACGCCTTCAGGCATAGCCTGCGGACATGTTCGATATTTTCTTTCTACTATAGACTTGTACTATGAGCGTGTACTACATCAAGCTCACGCGAACTGTGTACTGACACGTTTCGTTCAAATCGTGTAAAACTGGTATTCATCGAATCGTCGAGTCTCTATTTGCTTCGCGAATGGTCGATTTCAGCCGCGATATTTCGCGCGCGCCGTGCTTAATAATTTTCACTTTTATCTGACTTTTTACTTTCACTCCAATTGTTTCCGCCATTTCTCACCTTATTTTCCTAGAATGCCTCATAAATAACGCGCGCCGGCGTCTAGTTTTCACTTTAACGATCTTATCGTACGCGTTAGCGTATAATGTCAGCGGGAATGCTGCAATAAAGTGATGAAATGATAAAAACGACTCGACAAAAATTCCGCGAAGACTATTATTTAATGCCCGCGACGTTAGTGGATGTTAACTATCACCCGTTTGCCAATCGACTTTTACCGCGTGTGTTTTCTCGGAAAAAGAAGCGAGCTTTATCGCCGACGGAAACCGGTTGCTGAGACAATGCTATTCGCGTTTGCGCGCGCCCGTCACTCTGTGCCCTCTCGCCTCATCGGGGTACATCCGCCCCCTCTGTCCCCATGGCGTCTCTCACCTGTAAAACGGCCTTTACAGCCTCGCGGCTGTTGGCAAACGGTGAACAAGGCCGACCGCTTTGCCGCATGTAACTTTTACTTATTTCTGTGCACCTACGTTTCACTCACGGTGCGCTCTTGGCGGGACCATTAATCACGGCGCGCGACGTTGGGATACCGTTGCTTAACCGGGGGAATCAAAACGGAGGGCTTTACGTCGACGACGAGAAGTCTGGATTGGAAATTTCCAGTTCTTCCACCTAATTTTACGTATAATGCACGCGACAATATATAATTCGCCGAGAACGTTTATCAGAGCGCGAAACTTTTTTCGACGTTGGAAAAGCGCCGGCGAAACTCGAATGACTCTTAGCCAGCTGTAAAACGCGATGATTTTTGTCCGCCGGGGAAAGCCAATGGGACAAGCGTGTCATGGCTCAGCGGAGAGGAAGATGAGGATGACAAAAGCGGTGGAAATTGCGGAGAGCGGAAAAAGTGCGTTGCGCGCGTTAACAATAAAATAACTTCGTCAACGCGAACGAATTCACGAATCATTGGCGTCTCGCTCCGAGCTATTGTACTTGCAAAAACTGGAAAGCGCACTTTTATACGCGAAACAGACCCGTGGGATAGTTTGACAAACGTGATTACAGATAGCTCGCGGAGTGCGCGTTTAGTAGAAAACTGGTCGGCGTAGACTTAAACGCGACCGAAGCACTTTCCCGTTAACTACTTATCCGCTCCAGTTTTTTTCCCGCGCTCGTGTGATATCGCGTGTAATTTGTGTAATGTTGCGGCGATACAAACCTTATTGCATTTTAAAGTAAAATCTCGCTTAAACATATCGCGCTAGTCCACTTTCGCGTCCAGATCTGAAAAGCAGGCTTTTATAAGTCTACGCATTTAGCGGGTCGAGAAGCGAGATCATTGACGGCGAATGAATTTCGCAGAAGCGTCTTTTCTCGTTTTCACTTATCGGTTCGCGGCAATCGAAAGTTCGCGAGAAAAATGGAGTATATTTATTCGGCGATTCTGCAAAATGCTTTGATAATTGATCGATTCCGAAGCCGAGAAACCGCTGTGCCGGTGGCTGCTAAATATTTCATGCCGCATTCGGCTTTCCATGAAGACGTTTCGTTTCTGAATTTTTAGCGATCGCGAGATATCCGCGGAATTCTTTTATCGATTCCAGCGAATTGTCTCGATTCGCGGATTCCGGCTTCTCCCCTGGGATCTCCTTCAATTATCCTTTAATCCTTTCTTATTTTATATATGCAAGTGAGAGTTGATTTGCATAAAGAATTTCTCTCGCACATCATACACAACATGATTAATTGGATAATTACATATTTTGTAATAAAACGTCGCTTTAATAAGACATATACATTTTATAAAATTTATATAAGTAGTTTGTGTAACATGATGGAGGCAGCAAGGGGGAGACATCAGCGTGCTATAATTAATGCGATAGTATAATCGACGCTCTCACCTTTATACTTTTACGCTCAAAATGTCGAGAAGAATCGATTTATATAAAAAAAGTTGCAAAGTTTACACAAAAAAAAAAAACAATACAGTTTCACGTTGTAGACGTATTACTCTTGTTAAAAGTTAATCTATTTCTGTCAAACAATTTTTATTCAGTTTAGTGGATAATTTTGATCGAGTGGCACACATGATCTTGCAATAAGACATCAATTTTTCAAACACACGTATACAGATGGGCGGGGAAGGACGTGTAGTGTAGCAATATTTTATAAGAAATACTTTCGCGCTTGTAGAAAAAAATTGCGATATATCACCTGTTTTTTTTTTGTTTTTTTTTTAATATTACAACGATGTTTGTATTCAGATTCCCATCAGATCAATACTATTAAGAATGTTAACCAGACTATACTTATTGTAGAGGATTAATGAATGGCGCGGCACGCTGCTTATCGTACAGCGCGCGCTGCTTCACGCTTGACCCGGCGCGCGGTTTCGCGCGTTGCTCGCCAGGCGCAGCCTCCTGCTTTCACGTTGCGCAAAACATCATTCGGTCCCCGACAGTCAACGAACGTTGCGCTCGCGATTTATGGCTCGCCTTTTTTTCCCATTCGCGGCTTTCGAGAACTGTGTTCTCGCCTATCCGCTGCCCGTTACAACAAAACACGCTCGATTATCTCGAGCAGTTTTCTTCCCCTCCCCCTCCTTCTTCTCCCCCTCTCCACAACAATCTAACCGTGAGAGCCGTGACATTTCGACTATTTTCGAGAGATTCCTGAGAGAGTGCAGCCAACCTTGGGATTTGATTTACACGCTGAAACGACAGTCACAGATTAATCTGAAAATGTCTAAATGTATCTATAACAGTTATCTTGATATGTTAATATATAATGAGCAATGTTACGTCGTGGCTGTAACGCAAAAATTTGTCTTTTTCTTTTTCAGAAAGCAATTTGGTGTTGTCGAAGAGCGCTGCGCAGCGATATACAGGAATTGGCTAGAACGCGGCCGTTTGAGGAGGAAGTCTCGCAAAGCGTGAAAGAGAAAAAAAGGGTTAAAGGAAGCTGCGAGCGCGAAATGGGCGAGAGACGCGGTACGAAGGCGCTGGAGCTCTGGTGCCGTCGGATAACTGACGGTTATCCGGGTGTAAACGTGCAGAACATGACCACCTCCTGGAGAGACGGGCTTGCCTTCTGCGCCATGATTCATCACTTTCGGCCGGATCTCATGTAAGTTCACAGCGAGCATGTAATCACCGTCGTAACGCGATCGATCTCGGCGCGATATTGTGCCGATAGCGACGCGAAACCGTTTTATTCATCCTTTATCGAATGACGATACTCTCTTTTTCTCTCCGGCAATATGAACTTAAAACCGATTTTAACGCTCGACCGCCGTGTGCACTCTCTAAAAGTGCAATTTAGTCCGCACATTGCCCGATTCTTGGCACGGCTTCAAATTGCCCCTCGTTAAGCCGATTGTCTCGTAAATTAAGCAAGCTGTGGAGAGCCTCGCCCTCCAGCCCTCCCTTCACTCGGTTCAGTCATGTTTCATCTTAATTACGCGCGGTTTGTCGCAGAAAACATTCGTCGCGCGATATGAAAGTAACTTTTTAGTGTGAAATTTCATTTGATATCAATGAGAAGATGAAAAATTAAAAAAATCCAGATATTTAAGGATTCCGGTATCTAAATACGTCAATTTTAATTACGCGTAGTTTATCGATTCTCGCGCGAAAGATTCGTCGTACGATACGAGAGTAACTTTTTAATATAAAATTTCATTTTATATCATTGAAAAGACCAAAAATTAAAAAAATCCAGATATTTAAGAATTCCGGTATCTAAATGCGTCAATTTTAATTACGCGCAATTTATCGCAGAAAACTTTTGTCGTATGAAAGTAATTTTTTAATATGAAATTTTATTTTACATCAATAAAAAGACCAAAAATCTAGATATTTCAGGATTTCGGGATATCTAAATGCATCAATTTTAGATACACGTAGTTTGTCCATTCTCGGGGAAAAGATTCATTGTATGATATGAGAACCGACTTTCTAGCACAAAATTGTATTTCATATCAATGAAAAGGCCAGAAATGGAAAAATCCAGATATTCAAGGATTTCGGTATCTAAATGCGTCAAAATGTCCGGAGAATGATTGAAATATTTGAGAATCTAAAACCATCTAAAAGATGCAAAAATCCGAGGATTGCGACGCATCTCATCGACGGATTGTCCTCTTCGTAGTAATCCCAGGATTTTCGTGTCACCCCGTCGCTCGGCGACGACGAAGGAAGGTCCTTCTAAAAATAGAAGTGAATTGACGATCGATAAAGCAACAGCAGCCTGCACCCATCACACCGAGGAGGATGTACACCTCGGTGTTTTCTCGCCGATAACGGAACGCAACCGGAATTGTGTCCTGTTATGCAACTCGAGTTCAGCGGCATCTTGTCGATTCGAAACATTCTACTTTTTCCGTCACTTTTTTCCTCGCCCGCTTTTTCTGAATAATTTCCTCCGGATTAACAGCGTCGGTGATTCCACATAATCTTAATCCGGTTGCACGCGCAATCGCGCGATCTCATTTATTTTGGAATGTAATCTGCTTTCTTCGACCGACAAGATGATGCCGGCCGCGAGCTGCGTTTCCTCATTTTCGAATAATAAAATCAATATCGCGCTTGAATTCTAAGCTCGTAGATAAATTCCACTTGTTCGGATTAAGAGAGTGGATTCGATGCTTTTTTTTCCGCGTATTTTTCTTTTCGGCAGATAATCGATGAACGCGGGGCAAAAAGATGAGCAACGCGGCAGATGGGATCGGGGGAGATTTATTTGTCTTCAATTATGCATGAAAACCAAACGACACCCCCGAGTTTTCTTGGCCGGAAGCCGAAATAAAAATATCATCGAGATAGCCGAAAACATTCATTAATTATTGTTATCGTTGGGTGTGTTGACATCCGTGAATAAATAACGCGAGCAGAATTCACGCAACTGTACATTTCCGAGGGATCGTCGGGACGGAAATAGGTCGCGCGAGTTGTGCGGTTAATTTTTCAATAATCGTCCGTCATGTTTGACGACGTGAAACGTCGGGGACGGACCGCAAAAGAGCCTGCGGATTGGATCGTCGCCCGCGTCGATATTCCCGGAAGAGATGGGGATGTTTTGTCGTGGATTAAGCGACGTTTTTCGAAAGGAACGCGTCCGCAAAAACGGAAGGACCCCGGCTTTCCCTTGTCATTTCTGCAAAAAGCCTCTCTCCCGGCCTTTTCCCGACCTTAGCTCGGTCACTCGATCGTATTAAAATGGAAGTAGATTTTTTGTACGATCTGTTAGGCACAATATATCTTTTCAGTTGTTTCGTGGTCGAGTGACAAAGAAGATTATTTTTCAAAGAGTATATAAATTAACGGAAGAAAAGAAATCTCAAGTTTTAATCGTCTTAGTCTGTGAAAATCTTTTCTTTCGTTGGTGCATATAAATTTACGCTTTTGCAAAAAATGATAAGTTTTTAGTGAGAAGAGATATTCGTCTTATGTCTGAACGTGAAAATTCTCCTTAGAACTGGCGCCTCGATACTCAAGGTCTCACGACGAAGGGAATTCGCTTTTTATCGCGGACTGGGATCGTTGCCGAGGCTATTCCTCATTTCTTCTCCTCTTATTGTCCCGGGCAGAGCCCGACAAAATCTACTACTCGGACGTAACGACGGAGGCAGTAAAACGAGAGAGGAGCGAAGTTTTCCTTTACTACCTTCCGTTCTCCGTAGCTGAAACGGAATTTTTCCTCTTCCCTCTTCGCTTCCTCCCTTGTCCTCTCGAACTTGAGAGAGCCGAGTTATTTTAACTCCCGGCAAAGGACAAAGGTTTTCGAGCTGCGCGTAATGCATCCTGATAATTATCGTTGCCTAAGTAGCCGCGCGCAAAGTGATTGAAAATGAATGACACGACAGCCCAGCCGGCACTCTTGTCATCGAGCCGCAAAGAGAGCGCCGAGCAGTACCTTGGAACAGTATATCACGTGGGAACATCTCGAGATATCTGACGAGAGGCGTGGGTGAAAGCGAAACCGACAGGTGTGCCTGACGTCGATCGATGAGGGATCACGTGTCGAAAAGCAGACCTTTGCATCTTCGATGAAATTCGCGGCAGTGCATTAATTCGCGTGGAGATGCATCGCGGCTGAGCGCGAGGCGAAAGGCACGAGCGCGAGAATCACGTGCGGCTCGAACTTTTGTTCGCCGTCTCGCCTGCAACGGCGAAGCGAAGCGTGTGCGCAATGCGATGCGATTTCTACCTTTTATTAAATATCATTAGTTTCAGCCGCATCGCGCGAATCGATTTCTCGATCGACGCGCGTTCCACCATCGCGTTAGATTTCCATCGCGTTCCATCGCAGCGGAATCTTATTCTTCGTTCATAATTCGCCGGCGCTCTCGCCGACGAGATATACGCGCGGCGATTAGCGTCGAGCGGCGCGGATAAAATATCGCCAATAAGCCGAAAGACGAGGCGAGAGTCTTTCGCGTGGGCTTTTCTTTTTTGCGGCTGTGCGAGAGACGAGGGCGGGAGGACGAGGATAAAAGGGGTTTGGGTGTGGCACCGCGGTCTGCTGGAACTCTGACTCATCGTGACCTCGTCCCGGACGACCTCCCGTCGTCTGTCGCCCCCGAATTTTATAGCGCGAAATACATCCGAAATTACATCATCAATAATTATCAAAGGAATATCTGGCGGTACAGCGATATTCCATTATTATCGACGTTACTGCGGATCATTTTGTATAAACTATGCAAATATCGTTACTTGAGGAGTTTTATGCGTCGATTTCACGCTCCATCTACATCGCAACGAAAACTTTAACCTTCGGTGCGAAGTTATTAGCTGCCCGCTCGCTATCAATCCAGCTAACCGAAGACGAGCACCGGTGCTCGTCCTTCGACCTAAAATTTCAAGTATTACTCCAACCGCTGAACGATGTGCACCGATGCGGCTTATGCATATCGATTCATCTAAAAGTGGAGCACTCATGGCATTCCACGTATCGGGCATCCTTCAAAATGCGCTGTAAAAAATACCGAGCGGATTATAATTCTGTATATAATAATCGCATCTTCAGTGGTTCGTATTTGAACGCTTCCGTATTAAACAGCGAGTTATTGCAAGGGCGCTTTTAAGTCGTCTTTTCAGCACTTTTGATCCGAGGTCACCTCTTTGAATGTCTTTGAATAGGTTTCCGGTCTGCTGGGAAAATTTTGCCGGCAATATCGCTCTATCTCGATAAGTTGGCGTTTATTTACGGTATTAGCCGTCGACGTTAACTCGATAGCGTTACTTCTCAGACGGTCCTGAAAGACCAGAGCAGAAATGGCGAAAATTTTCATTATTTCTACTGCAACTAATTTTTTTTCCAAATAATATATGCCAGTAATTATGAAAGTGGATTAAATCAATAATCTTGAAAAATCGAACTTTTTTTTACATTGATTTATATTATTATAATGTAGAATTGTTTTTTAAAAATAGTGGAAAATTGAATATAAAAATATGTGTTTTGGAAAATATTTTGTCGCAATGAGAAAAATATTTTTAATGCAGGGGATTTATATGAGCAGATTACTCTAATTTGTAAAAAAAGAATAATTTATTTATGTTACGACGGAAGATTCGCTAATATATTAATGTTTGCACGCTACACTTCTCGGAACGCCTCTATCTAGATTCGCGCTTTCCGAGAACCTCTGTTTATTGTTCGCGCTCGTCGATCGGCCGAAAAACACGAGACATACGCACGCACACATACAGACGATCGTTCTCGCTTTCGAGAAGTTCTTTGTTATTTGACAACAAATATTAAGGGTAACTGTCGGTCGCAAGGTCGGTCTCAAACACCTTCCTAAATGCTGCTAGGCATTTTCAAATTGATAGAAGATATTGACTCTACAATACGTGCAAACGCAAAAGTCTAAATGTCTCGAAACAAAAAACACGTCTTACAATTAGCCTACTTTCACAATCACTGCCGCATATGCGCCTCGATGGATTCCGGTCCAAGCACATTGCTCGGCGCGATGTGTGCGATAAAGTATACGTTTGTGGAACCTTTTCAGTCATGCGAAAATTGAATTACGATACGATGTATTACGTTTCTCGACGCAATCCCATAGAGTCGCCCCTGTTTCCGGCATATTCTATTGTATAGTGTGCACACCTACAGCACGCCCACGACATGCTACGCCGATTTCAATATATGCGACAAATAACATCGGCAATTGTAGCAATCGTATATTCGGATATGTTGCATTTCGCACAGTTGGCCGATTTCTCATGCATTACGCGCTGATATTGCAGCGTTTTTGCCATTATTTTTCTGCATTTTTAATTACAATTTATAGCTGAAATGTGCGGCATTAGAAGCCAAGTAAAATTACAGACTGCGATATATCAAAAGTCGCTTGCATTTTTATTAAGCATCTCTCACATTTCGAAGTTATTTCGCGTTTTTCAATATTGCGTCACATCCGTTGCGGATCTTCGTTTTATTAAAAGGGATATAATTGCGCGACGGATTCGCGCCGGTCGAGTGTTCCTTTAATAAATACCGAGCATACTTCGCCGCACTTTACAAGATATTCAGCAGCTGTAATTGTCTCGGTTATTTGTACTCGCTTTTAACGGGAGAAAAAATAACACAACGATTCTCCATATACGCCCACAAAGAGTCTGATTAATTCAAGGAATCTTTTTTATACATCCGACGTTTTATCGAGCGAATCTTCGAAGCGAATAAATATTGATGAGGCGGGGGAGGGGGAGAAGTTACACCGAAGTAACGAATAGCGGAAGATTAATACTGCTTAGTGTAAGGATAAAAGCAGCGCGAGACAGATAACGGCGGTATCTTTAAGTCACCCCGTGCCGCTTCTCTGTTACAGCGACTTCAACAGCCTGAACAAGGACGATGTGTACAGAAACAACGAGCTGGCTTTCAGAACAGCCGAGCAGCACCTCGGGATTCCCGCCCTTTTGGACGCCGAGGATATGGCGTCTTGCGCGGTGCCCGATCGATTGTCCATTCTCACTTATCTCTCGCAGTTCTACCAAACTTTTGGAGGTGAGTTACAATCGTACGATCCGCTTTCCGCTTGAAAATGAACGATCGACAAGTGCGTTTTTCCGTCCGGAAAAATAATACTACGCTTCGCGAATTGTCTCGAACGTCTCATTGCGCGAAGGCAGTATGCATTCCCGCATTCTTGGGACGTTGAAAAATTTCATTAAATCCATTCGTCATTCTCGATTTATTTATTTCGCCGTTCAGTCTTCGGTGCTGGAATAGCGCAAACACGCGCGTTTGCACCGGTGATTACATTCGGCGCATATTAATTTCGGAATGATACTTAAATCCAATTGAGATAAAATTGTCACGAATAACCTCAGAGGTGCGCAACGATTTTTGATGAGCTTTTTATTTCTCATCTGGCTACATTCGCCGCTTTTATCCGCTTTTCTCCGGACAACTTTATCGTCCTGCGTTAGGAAAAGTGCATAATTTTTCATCGATCGATAACTCATCGCAACGATATTTCTTTTATCACATTCAGTGGTGCGAAAATTGAATTTTGCGCGAAGCAAAACGGAAAATAATTTTTCCGGAAATCTAGTTACGTAATCTACTTTTTTTTTCCTCGATCCTGTGGAGAACCGATTTCCCATGATTTTGATCGAGAAACTCGTATAAATTCGATTTTGCACACACGATTATAAGTATGCAAAATCTCTCGGTTAAACGAGCGCACAATCGCGATGCGCGGGAGGCGCGAGCTACGAAAAAAAAACGGACCTATCGGCGCACACATCACGTTCGCTTTCAGGTAGAAATCAAGCGAGTCCGATCGACAGGCGTATGACGTTCGAAACGTCGCGGCGCGTTGAACGTCTTGCACGTCCAACACGTTCTCGCAGCCGGTTACTAAATGGGCCAAATAGGCCACGCCGATCGGGCTCGTGTCACTGATTGGTTTCTGGCTTTCTCCCCTTCGCCGACCGACGCGCGACATATCTCTCGCAATTGTCCCTTCGATTGATATCTCGCGCGCGTGTGACATTCGATGCGGAAGTTGTGCTATATAAGCCGCTCGGGCGAGATCGATATCTGCACTTGAACAGCGTCGCTGAATTTCGAGACGCGAAATACAGGTCATTTTAAATATATCGCGTGATTTCTTTTTGACTCGCGATTTCCGAGCAAAATTTCTTCAACAAATAAATTCTTTCCCCAAATCAACAGCGTATAAAGCAAAACACTCTTCGTCGGAATATGTGCGCGATAAACACTTGGGCTCTAAGATCTCCCCGGCGTAATCGGCTTGCGATAGTGCAACGCGACAGTACGTCGGAAACTTGAGCGCTTAAGCCAATATTCACTGCCTCGTTCTTATCGGTCTCGCTGGATCCTGATTATCAAGAGCGCAATTACCGCCTGTCCGATCGCGAGAGGATAACTTTGAAAATTTGAGTAGCCACTTGTTGAGCTGCCTCCGCAAGATTTGCATTCTTTTTGCGCGGCCTTTTTCGCTGTTCGCATCTCGATCGAGAAATAGCTGCTGTTGGCAGCATCGATCGTTTGCGTTATCGTTTGCAACCACTTGTTGAACGGACGTTATTACGTGTCGCCGCCGTGGTCGTCGGTGTTGTGAAATTTTCGTCTTTCTCTACGACAACGGATACGAGCGAGTCTCGCAAATAAATATACGACGCAACCGCTCCGCCTATTCGTGGAGAGATGTTTAGTTTTTTTTTTTTCCCCCTTCAACGCATATGTGTATCAGCAATTATGAAGGTCGACTAGTTGTAAGTGAAAAATTTTGCAAAATTAAATTTATTATTTATTTAGTATTACATTGATCTTTATAATAATATGAAGTCATTGTTTAATAATGTCTAAACGCTTTTCGGAACAAGTAAAAATGTCGGAACTTTGGAAAATTAAATTGCAATGTAAGTTGCAAATATTTCACATGCCGCACTCTTTTCACCGCGGTCTACATCGAGAAGGTTAGCATGGACTATTTGACTCCTAGCTTCTTCGCGTGCTCGCGTTGATACCCGGCGGCGTTTTCGTTACGCAAAATGTCTATTTTATAACATGCCTCTCTCTCTCTCTCTCTCCCGTCACTAATCTTTTCTCTCCTCTTTCTCCCTCCTACAGTCGCGTGATTACGAAAGAGGGAAGTGCGTCATTTGCTGGAATATTATTCGAACATCGAGCTCTGTCGCTGAATTCACGACGAGGCCGTAATCTATTAAGAATCCATCCGTTCCCGGCTCTTAATCTTATCCAGAGACTTTCAGCTTCCCGGCAAATTAACCATCCCGTTAATCTCTGAACGACGGTTAATCTCGATCGCAGAGAAGACGATCCTTTTCTCGGCCGCGCATATAAATGCCCGCTCGAATTAACGCGATCGCGAGAAGGGGACTAATCCCGTTTCTCAAATCACTAACCTGCAACGAGAAAATTGCCACATTGCTCGGTAGTCGACGTTCTATCCGTTTTATAGCTACATTAGGACTGCGTTCGCTCGCGGAATACAGCCGGCGCTTCTTCTCTTAACGGACGGACGGACGGACGGCAGTGTACACGCTTGTCTTTTACATTAGTACGTACATTAAAGCGGAAGTACAATCTACCGTTCATTACTTTCAATAAACCTAACTTTTTCATTGCACAAAAAACAAATCTAAGCAAATTTTATGGAGAAGAAGAATTCTACTCATGAAAGCGAATACCGGGCGCAATTTTTTTCTTGAAATGAAATCGAGAATTACTGCGCATTTCGACTATTTGGTTTCATTCAATTATCTTCTCTTAATCTTGATTATAGTTTTTTTTTTACAAAATGCAGATTTCTTTGCACAAGTTTATTGATTGCATCCGGTCTGATGGTTTGTTTTCCCTTGTAGAATGTCTGAAAGTTTTGGTTTTATTAGTTAATATTAATATTTATTGATTTATTTACATAATTATAGATTAAGCTCATGTTTAAGAAATTTGATCTCTATTTAATTTTCTTTTCTCTGCTCTTTTTTCTAATAAAAAAGGGAATTTTTCTTAATGTAATATGTCATATATAACATAACAGTTATTTTTTTACCAATAAAAATTTGTTTTTATAATTCTCTTAGACTTTCGTTATTTGTCCGATGAATTTTGGAGTCTTTTAAGTGTGTTGACATTAATGGACGATAGTGTACATTTATTGTATCACTACATAAGATATTTCCACAACTATTCGCTGTTTTAACAACGAATCGCGCAATGAAGAAAAGAGAAAAACTAAAAAATGCAATTCAACAAGTCTATCAGATTATTATTTGAATTGTAATTCTTTTATGTTTTTATCAAGCTATAGAATACGAGCTTGAAATGTGGAGAGATGTCATGTAAATTTATGTTTGGGTAACACAAGTTGGTCGACGTAGATAAATAAGCAATTTTACGCAAATACATTGCATTATATAACTTTTCTTCATAACGCCTTGCAAAAGAGTCAATATTATTGTTCAAACAAAAGCGTATTTCCGCTTCGCTTCGGTCTAATATCGGCCACAATAGCGGTACTTCCAACTCTCCCTGCATAAATATTCACGCTACAAAGGAAAGTTTTAAAGGGCGTTCGATAAAATACGTCACATTTCATTGAAACAAATACATATTAACCGCTTTCAGTTTTTCTCTTAATAGAAAACAATATATTATGTCTTAATTATAATATCTTCTTATAATTTTTTTATTTTTTCTACTAGGAGATCATTATTTTAATAATGCAGTGTGTTATACTTAAAATAAATAAAATAAAGACAAGAGTTTGTGCATAAAATGTGGCATGTAATAATATATTTACTATACAAATAACTTAATCAGATATGTTAAAATAATAAAATAAAACGTCGCGTATTAAGTGCGCCGCAATCAATGCAATCAATGCAACAAAATTTATCATATTCGCGTTACTATTATTTATCGCCGAATTCTTTTCTGAAAAAACTCTTTGACACCCTCCCTTCCTCTCTTTCTCTCCCTCCCTCTCTCTCGCGCGCGCGCGCGAGATTGTTATAATATACATATTTCGCATCCTATCCGCCTTTCTTCCTAACTGTAGGTTTAAACGCTATCAATATTTATGTTTAAATAAAAAACTGTACGTCTCTTTCCTCGACCACTTCCATCAGGCACTTTTCGACGAAATAATGTTCGCATCGTCCTCAGTTAAACGCGTTCTATCGTACAGATCAGACACAATGTCTTGGCAATTAACAACTTGAGACTTCCCCTGAATAGAAGAACACTATGCAAAAAAGGAATCCAATCACAATTTTCAAGTGAAATGTAAAACTTGCGAAAATTATATTAAATACGCGAGTACTTTTAAGTTTAACATACACATACTTAGTAAGCATCAAAATGAACATAAAAAGGAATTCGAAATGCAACGGAAGCATAATGTGTGGAAATATTTTAACATAACAAACGAAGGAAATACAAGATGTATTTCCTTCGTTTGTTATGTATGTAAAATAGTGGAGTAATGTCATTAGATTCCTTAAATGATCACTTATCAGAAAAGCATGAGAACATAGAAGATCTAAAGCTCTATGAATCACAAGATTGGGCTTGGAAATACATCGACGCAGAGGAAGTTAATAATTTTTTTGGAAAATGTACGCTTTCTGACACAAAAATGAGGTTTCCGTTTACGTCTACAACATTAATACATCATCTCGGAAAACATGAGAGAATAGTAAACGCTGAACGAAACGTGCAGTTTTGGAAAGATCAAATTGAAACGTTGAGGTGGTTGGATAAATTTTATAGAAAAGCTGAGGAGAATTTTCGAGCAAAATGTAAGAAATGTAATAACAGTTATTTATATATCTCCAATGACAGAATTAAGGAGCACTTAAGCAAGCATAAAGACATTTTCGATTATGAAGAATATATGGAGACAACGGAAGACAGAAAAATTGGCTGGAAAGGTATGAGGTTCATAGATGACAATGCCCGTGAAATAGAATGTATGATATGTAATGAAATTTTGTCAAATAACTCCTTCATAAACAATCATGAAATACATTAGTTATCGGTGAAAATCATACCGATTCTAGTACATTGCGAAGAAAAATGAAGGGAATGATTATAACGATTGTGGCGCATCAAAAATAGAAATGAGGTGAATAAAATAAAAAAGGAAATATTTCTATTTCTGCGAAAAGTGTATCAAATGCATTATTTTTTATATGTCGTAGTATCAATAAATAAAAAGCCACACATATGTTTGATGTAGACATTTTTATAGATAATAGAATATTAATTGAAGGTTATAAATTCCGTTAAGAACAACTTTTGCATTATTTGGAAAATATTATTTATCTGTATTACTGATTTGCTGTAAGGTTTCTTTCTCGCCCCTTCCATCTTGCTCGCTCGCGAAATTGTTATATTACTATACATTCGCATCCTACCGTTCTTCTTGATAACTGTTAGGTAGGTTTAAACGCTGTCAATATTTACGTTCAAATAGAAAAACTGTACGTCTCTTTCCTCGACCACTTCCATCAGGCACTTTTCGACGAAATAATATTCGCATCGTCTTCAGTTAAACGCGTTCTATCGTACAGATCAGACACAATGTCCTGGCAATTAGCAACTGGAGACCTCCCCTGGATAGAAGAACACTATATAAAAAAGGAATCCAACCACAATTTTCAAGTGAAATGTATATCTTGCCAAAATCATATTAAATACGCGAAAGTTCGTATGTTTAAGAAACACATACGTATTGAGCATTCAGAGGAATATATAATGGAATGCGAAATGCAATGTAACCGTAATGTGTGGAAATATTTTATCCTAACAAAGAAAGGAAATACAAGATGTATTGTATGTAAAATTGTGATGCTTGGAAAACAGTCAAAAGAATCCTTAGAATATCACTTATCGGAATATCATGAGAACGAAGAAGAACTAAAGCCCTATGATACACAAAATTGGGCTTGGAAATACGTCGACGCAGAGGAAGTTAATAATTTTTTTGGAAAATGTACGCTTTGTAACACAAAAATGAGGTTTCCGTTGATGTCTAAAAAATTAATACTTCACCTCAAAGAAGATGGAATAAAAGTAAACGATAAACGAAATGTACAGTTGTGGAAAGATCAAATTGACAATTTGTATTGGTTGCATAACTTTTATGCAATAGCTGAAAAGGATTTTCAAGCAGAATGTAAGACTTGTGGACACAATTATTTTTATGTTTCCATTAAGACGATTAAGGACCACATGAGGAAGCATAAAAATATTTTCGATTATGAACAATATATGCAGAAGACGGAAAAAAGAACATTAGTCTGGAAAGGTATGAGGTTTATAGATAATAATGCACGTGTAATAGAATGTATGGGATGTCAAGAAATTCTGAAAAATAAATTCTTTATAAACAATCATAAAACGCATCATAAGCCATTGCTCTCCTATCAAATTTATTGGGGATTTAAATACATGAAACAACTTGGAGATTTGGCAAAATGTACGATTTGTGAAGAAGATGTAAAACTTGTTTGGCATGCAAACCATTTAAAAAGTCACATAAAAAATCAACACGAAGAGATATGGACAACAATGAATGCAATGTATCAACAAGTTATTCCGTCGACAAGCCAGGCAGCCTAAAAGAAAAATAAACGTGAGTTTTAATCAAATTTTTTATTAATTATTATTGTTATTATATTATATTTATCATTACATTTTATTCCAAAGAATAACTCACAAAAGTGGCGTTTTTAATACATAAAAACCACAAAAATTAAGTAAATAATATTTGTTTCTGATATATTATATATTTTTATATAGATTTCTCTACATCGAGTTTGACAATTGGAAATGGTGGTAGCGACACTTTTAATTAGCATGGTTTGACTTTGACCGAAGTGATTTCAAATACATGAAGACTTTGGCATGTAATTTGACTTATTTGTCGCATATCAGCTTTATGATTATAAATATATAAAATTTGTAAAGTTAAATGTATTTATAAATTTATAATTTAAATGCAATATTTTAAATTTATAAAATTAAATACTATGTTTATAATTTTAAACAATATTTATAATTTTCAAGCATGATATACTTCAAATTACGCTTTAAAATCAAAAACTGTGTTCATATATTAACATTTCGTGATCAGCAATAACGGCAGGTTTGACTTTGACCTAAGTGATTTGAAATACATGAAGACATTGGCATATAATTTGACTTATTTGTCGCATATCAGCTTCATGTTTATAAATATATAAAATTTGCAAACTTAAATATATTTATAAGTTTATAATTTTAAACCATACTTATAAATTTTAAGCATGATATGCTTCAAATTACGTTTTAAAATCAAAAACTGTGTTTATACATTTATAAAAAGTACATCGACTTTATGATTATAACATAACATAATATAACGATTTTTTTATAGTGACGAATCTTCCATTGACGTACTCAGTACATACATAATACGAATAACAAAAATTAGATCATTAGTATTTGTTCGAAATCTGTCGCATCGTAGCTTAAAATAGACATAATGTCTACGTCACTCGATATTTGAAGAAAGAACCGTTTGCTACATATATTTAGCAATTGGACCTGAAAATATTACTTTTTTGTACAATATTTTCATGAAAAAAGTAGAAATCAGAATCTTTAGCGAATCACTAACAGGATCATATTAGGAAAGAATTGGAGGATTATGTATTTCGCAGTTGGGCATAGAAGTATTGCTTTTTTGTGCATAAGAAGACGGTATTTCCAAATCCATGTACGAAATGTACATTCCTTTAGTTCCTTTTTGCAATGCTGGTGTAAATAATTTTTGAAGAGTTTTGATGTCTACATTTTATATGACTTTATGAAATAATTTTGAATTATTATGTAAAAAGTAGAAAAAAAGCATACACAATTTTTTAAATACGAAGAGAAGAGAAAAGTACGAATATCACCATAGAAGTATGTTAATTATTTGAACAGATTATGTTTTTGCAATATATTTTCTGTGCGTATGTTCCGTTTAAACTTGAATCTTTAGTAAATAATGTATCAATACTCTAAAGTATTACGAACAAGGAGATTGTATTATTTCATTATTTTATACTTATTTAAAAATTTCTCAATCTCGTCTTAAAGTATTATAAGCATGTAAGAAATTCTATCATTTTAGAATTTAATTTTAAGCTTATTTAAAAGTTTCTTGTTTACGAATTTAATGTTACCTTTAAAATAATTCAAGCGTGTAACAGATTGTATCATTTTATCATTTTAATGTTATCTTTATTTACAAATTCTTCAACTATGAAATTAATGTTTTATTTAAGGTATTACAAGTAGGAAATTTTGTATTTTATTACATTACTGTTACGCTTATTTAAAAATTTCTAGAACTTTTTACGAATTTAATATTATTGTAATTTGCGTGATAAATTCAAGTTTTGGTAGATAGGTTTGCATGTGCAAATAATATAAATAAAATTCATGTATTCATATAAATGTAGTTTGAGTTTGATTGTACTCACACAGATACATATGGCATGTGATAATAATTTGTACATATATAAAATATATTTATTTGAAAAAAAATACATATATATAAGAAAATTATGTTTCATATTTAATTATATTATATTACAAATATGTATTACGATTTTCTAAAAAGTAAAAAGAAAGAAACGTTTAATTTTTATAAGGATGAACATTAAGTGTCGATGTGATTTTTGATTGCTTTGTAACAGTGTGCAATATTAGTTAAACTTTTATCCGATTTTTCTGGTCACCTATTTTTCATTCATTTACCGCACGTGTCATAATAACTAGGGCCAACGTTGAATATTGCAAAATTTTTAAATTTATCATGTAACTAAATAATGAGTAGGTGTGTGTATAATCGCTCCGAGCAATGCGTAGAGCATTGTAAATTACAAAATAATTTTTTATTACACAATATAAAATCTAACAAAAATAATTTTATTTTAGAATTTTTTGAATGCAATTGTTATTTGCATCTGTCTGTTACATAGATTCTGTTCGAATAAGAAATTTTACCATGAAATGCGAACTGTTTCGATCTCTCTCTTGAGATCCAAATTGTTGTTCGATCACTTAACTACTAGTCTTGGATTTATTTTTTATTAATTTTTTATTTTAAATATTGTATTGAATATTGTTTTATTTATTTTTCAATTTTGTATGTGTTATTGAAATAATTATAATTAAATATGTACTTATATTTTATTATAAAAATATGTATGACTTGTTTATTTATCGACATGTGTTCCATGTTAATGAAACGGCAAGGATTGTTTTTTATTTTACTCAAACAATCAAAAGTTACAATAAATTGTAACAAATTTGAAATATTAAATAATTGCTTTATTTCAATATGAATACCAAAGTTATGAATTTAAGATATTTAAAATTATAGTCAAGTAATTAGCAACAGAATAGTAGAACATGAAAATTACATCGATAACTTGTAGTACATTGCGAAGAAAAATGAAGGAAGTGACGATAATGTTGGTAGTGCATTTAAATTAGAAATAAGGTGAATAAAATAGAAAAGGAAATATTTCTATTTCTGCAAAAAATGTATCATATGCATTATTTTTTACATATCGCAATATAAATAAATAAAGAAATCACACATTTCTTTGATATAGACATTTTTATAGATAATAGAGAATATTAATTGAAAGTTAAAAAATTTTTTTAAGAACAACTTTTGCATTATTTGGAAAATATTATTTATCTGTTTTACAGATTTGCTATAATGCCTCTTCTTCTTCCCCTCTCTTTTTCTCTCGCTCGCGAAATTATTATATTACCATACATTCGAATCAGTTCTTATCGCCCCTTTTGATAACTGTTAGGTAGGTTTGAATGCTGTCAATATTTACGTTCAAATAGAAAAACTACGTCTCTTTCTTCGACCACTTCCATCAGGCACTGTTCGACGAAATAATGTTCGCATCGTCTTTAGTTAAACACGTTCTACCGTACAGATCAGACACAATGTCTTTGGAATTAAGGGCTAGAGAATTCTCCTGGATACAAGTATTTTATGTAAAAAAGGAATCCAACCACAATTTTCAAGTGGAATGTCAAATTTGCGAACGTGATATTAAATACGCGTCAGCTGATAAGTTTAAGAAACACATGTCTGTTAAGCATCAAGATGAACTTAAAATGGAATGCGATATGCAACATAAGCATGATGTGTGGAAATATTTTTACTTAACAAGAGATGGAAAATCAAGATGTATTGTATGTAAAGTTGTGATATCTACAGGATGGTCGACGCATTTCTTACAGAATCACTTGTCGACAAATCATGAGAACAAAGATCTAAAGCCCTATAAATCACAAAGTTGGGCTTGGAAATACATCGACGCCGAAGAAAGTAATAATTTTTTTGGAAAATGTAATCTTTGTGACACAAAAATGACGTTTCCGTTGATGCTCGAAAATTTAAGAGATCACCTCCGAATACATAATTTTGAGAAACCCATTAAACGAAACGTACCGATGTTGAAAGATAACTTTAAACATTCGTTTTATATGAAAAGCTTTTATACAACAGCTGAAGAGGATTTTCGAGTAAAATGTAAGCATTGTTTAAACCAGTTTTTATATGTCTCCATCGAGACGATTGAGCAGCACATGAGCAAGCATAAAGATATTTCCGATTATGAAAACTATATGAAGACGACGGAAGAAAGAAAAATAGGCTGGAAAGGTATGAGGTTCATAGATGATAATGCAGGTGAAATAGAATGTATGATATGTCATACAATTCTGCCAAATAAATTACACATAAACGATCATGAGAAACTACATTCTACGAAGCTGCTCCGTTATCATACTTATTGGGGATTTAAATACATGAGACAATTAGGAGATTTGGCTAAATGTACGATTTGTGATGAAATTGTAACACTTATGTGGGATGCGAGCCATTTACAAAATCACATGTTTGAACAACATGCAAAGGAAGTTGGAGAATTATGTCGAGCAGTTGAATCGTCACCGTCATGCACTGTACTTTAAAAAAAAAATAAACGTGAGTTTCAATTAATCTTTTTATTAATTATTATTGTTATCATATTATATTTATCATTACATTTTATTTTTTGAGTGGTGTTCTCAATACATAAAAACAACAAAAATCAAGTAATTAATATTTGTTCTGATTATATTGTTTCTGATATATTATAAATGTTTATATAGATTTATCTGTATAGAGTTCGACAATTGCAAATGATGGTAGCCACATTTTTAAGGAGCATCTCGTGACCCGTAATAACGGCAAATTTGACTTTGACCGAAGTGATTTCAAATACATGAAGACATTGGCATATAATTTGACTTATTTGTCGCATATCAATTTTATGTTTATAAATATATAAAATTTATAAAGTTAGATATATTTATATATTTATAATTTAAATACAATTTTTTAAATTTATAAAGTTATAAATTATATTCATAATTTTAAACAATATTTATAATCTTAAAACAAGATATGCTTCAAATTATGCTTTAAAGTCAAAAACTGTGTTTATGCATTTATAAAAAGTAAATCGACTTCATTATTATAACATAACATAATATAACGATTTTTTTATAGTGACGAATCTTCGAGTAACGTACTTAGTACATACATAATAAAAATTACAAAAATCAGATCATTAGTATTTGTTCGAAATGTATCGAATCGTAAGCTTAAAATAGATACAATGTCTACGTCACTCGCTATTTGAAGAAAGAACTGTTTGATATTATATATTTAGCAATTGGACCTGAAAATATTACTTTTTTCTATAATATTTTCATGAAAAAAGTAGAGATCAGAACCTTTAGCGAATCACTAACAGGACCATATTAGGAAAGAATTGGAGGATTATGTATTTCGCAGTTGGGCATAGAAGTATTGCTTTTTTGTGCATAAGAAGGCGGTATTTCCAAATCCATGTACGAAATGTATATTCCTTTAGTTCTTTTTTACAGTATTTGTGTAAATAATTTTTGAAGAGTTTGGATGTCTACATTTTATATGACTTTATGAAATAATTTTGAATAATCATGTAAATAGTAAAATTTCGAATATACTGGTAAATGCGCAAGAAACAAATATAATACCCATGTTATTAAAAATTATAACGAAAGAGCGACTGTGACAATTTTGTACAAAATTATCGAATATTCGTACAAATGTATGTTTTGCAAAAATAAATATTGTTACATTAAATTTTTTAATTTTCGTAAACATGTAGAAAAAAAGCAGACACAAATTTTTAAATACGAAGAGAATAGAAAAGTACGAATATCACCGTAGAAATATGTTAATTATTTTAACAGATTATTATGTTTTTGCAATATTTTATCTGTGCGTATGTTTCGTTTAAACTTGAATCTTTAGTAAATAAGGTATCAATACTCTAAAGTATTACAAACTAGTAGGAGATTGTATCATTTCATTATTTTATGCTTATTTAAAATATCTTCGATTTCGTCATTAATGTCGTCTTAAAGTATTATAAGCATATGAGAATTTCTATCATTTTACAATTTTAATTTTAAATTTATTTAAAAATTTCTCGTTTACATAAATCTAATGTTATTTTTAAAATAGTTTAAGTGTGTAGCAGATTGTATCATTTTATCATTTACATGTTGTTCTTATTTATAAATTTTTCAGCTATGGAATTAATGTTGTATGTAACGTATTACAAGTAGAAAATTGTATCATTTCATTACCTTAATGTTACGCTTATTCAAAAATTTCTAGATTTTCTTAGGAATGTAATGCTATTGTTATTTGCGTCACAGATTCAAGTTTTGGTAGATAGATTTGCACGTGCAAATGATAAAAAATACATAAAAAATTCATGTATTCATTTAAATGTAATTTCAGTTTGATTGTATTCACAGATACATATGGCATGTGATAATAATTTCTACATATATAATATATATTTATTTGAAAAAAATACATATATATAAGAAAATCATGTTTCATATTTAATTATTTTATATTACAAATATGTATTATGATTTTCTAAAAAGTAAAAAAAAAAGAAACGTTTAATTTTTATAAGGATGAACATTAAGTGTCGATGTGATTTTTGATTGCTTTGTAACAGTGCTTAATATTAGTTCAACTTTTAGCCGATTTTTCTGGTCACTTAATTTTCATTCTTTTACCGTGCGTGTCATAATAACTAGGGCCAACGCCGCATATTGCAAAATTTTTTAATTGAACATGTTACTAAATAATCAGTAGGTGTGTGTATAATCGTTCCGAGCAATGCGCAGAGCATTGTAAATTACAAAATAATCTTTCATTACACAATATAAAATCTAACAAAATAATTTTATTTTAGAAGTTTGTGAATGCAATTGTTATTTGCATTTTTCTGTTACATAGATTCTGTTCGAATAAGAAATTTTACTATGAAATGCGAACTGATTCGATCTTGAAATCCAAATTGTTGTCCGATCACTTAACTACTAGTCTTGGATTTATTTTTTATTCATTTGTTATTTTAAATATTGTATTAAATATTGCTTTAAATATTGTTTTATTTATTTTTTAATTATGTATGAGTTATTGAAATAATTATAATTAAATATGTACTTATATTTTATTATAAAAATATGTATTACTTGTTTATTTATCTACATGTGTTCCATGTTAATGAGACGGCAAAGATTGTTTTTTATACTCAAACAATCAAAAGTTACAATAAATTGTAACAAATTTGAAATATTAAATAATTGCTTTATTTCAATATGAATACCAAAGTTATGAATTTAAGATATTTAAAATTATAGTCAAGTAATTAGCAACAGAATAGTAGAACATGAAAATTACATCGATAACTTGTAGTACATTGCGAAGAAAAATGAAGGAAATGACGATAATGTTGGTAGTGCATTCAAATTAGAAATAAGGTGAATAAAATAGAAAAGGAAATATTTCTATTTCTGCAAAAAGTGTATCATATGCATTATTTTTTACATATCGCAATATAAATAATTAAAGAAATCACACATTTCTTCGATATAGACATTTTTATAGATAATAGAATATTAATTGAAAGTTAAAAAATTCTTTTAAGAACAACTTTTGCATTATTTAGAAAATATTATTTATATGTTTTACAGATTTGCTATAATGCCTCTTCTTCTTTCCCTCTCTTTTTCTCTCGCTCGCGAAATTGTTATATTATCATACATTCGCATTAGTTCTTATCGCTCTTCTTGATAACTGTTAGGTAGGTTTGAATGCTGTCAATATTTACGTTCAAATAGAAAAACTGTACGTCTCTTTCTTCGACCACTTCCATCAGGCACTGTTCGACGAAATAATGTACACATCGTCTTTAGTTAAACACGTTCTACCGTACAGATCAGACACAATGTCTTTGGAATTAAGGGCTAGAGAATTCTTTTGGATTCAAGAATTTTATGCAAAAAAGAAATCTAACCACAATTTTCAAGTGGAATGTCAAATTTGCGAACATGATATTAAATACGCGTCAGTTGATAAGTTTAAGAAACACATGTCTGTTATGCATCAAGATAAACTTATAATGGAATGGGATATGCAACATAAGCATGATGTGTGGAAATATTTTTACTTAACAAGAGATGGAAAATCAAGATGTATTGTATGTAAAATTGTGATATCTACAGGATGGTCGACGCATTTATTACAGAATCACTTATCGACAAATCATGAGGACAAAGATCTAAAGCCCTATAGATCACAAGATTGGGCTTGGAAATACATCAACGCAGAAGAAAGTAATAATTTTTTTGGAAAATGTAAGCTTTGTGACACAAAAATGAGGTTTCCGTTGATGCTCGAAAATTTAAGAGATCACCTCCGAATACATAATTTAGAGAAACCCATTAAACGAAACGTACCGATGTTGGAAGAAAACTTTAAACAATCGTTTTTGATGGACAGCTTTTATGTAATAGCTGAAGAGGATTTTCGAGTAAAATGTAAGCATTGTTTAAACCAGTTTTTATATGTCTCCATCGAGACGATTGAGGAGCACATGAGCAAGCATAAAGATATTTCCGATTATGAAAACTATATGAAGACGACGGAAGAAAGAAAAATAGGCTGGAAAGGTATGAGGTTCATAGATGATAATGCAGGTGAAATAGAATGTATGGTATGTCATACAATTTTGGCAAATAAATTATGCATAAACGATCATGAGAAACTACATTCTACGAAGCTGCTCCGTTATCATACTTATTGGGGATTTAAATACATGAGACAATTAGGAGATTTGGCTAAATGTACGATTTGTGAAGAAAATGTAATACTTCTGTGGGATGCGAGCCATTTACGAAGTCACATGTCAGAACATCATGCAAAGGAAGTTGAAGAATTATGTCGAGCATTTGAATCGTCACCGTCATGCACTGTACTTTAAAAAAAAAATAAACGTGAGTTTGAATCAATCTTTTTTTAATTATTATTGTTATCATATTATATTTATCATTACATTTTATTTTTTGAGTGGCGTTCTCAATATATAAAAACAACAAAAATCAAGTAATTAATATTTGTTCTGATTATATTGTTTCTGATATATTATAAATGTTGATATAGATTTATCTGTATAGAGTTCGACACAATTGCAAATGATGGTAGCGACTTTTTTAAGGAGCATCTCGTGACCAGCAATAACGGCAGATTTGACTTTGACCGAAGTGATTTCAAATACATGAAGACATTGGCATATAATTTGACTTATTTGTCGCATATCAGTTTTATGTTTATAAATATATAAAATTTATAAAGTTAGATATATTTATAATTTAAATGCAATTTTTTTAATTTATAAAATTCGAAACTATATTCATAATTTTAAACAATATTTATAATCTTAAAACAAGATATGCTTCAAATTACGCTTTAAAGTAAAAAACTGTGTATATGCATTTATAAAAAGTAAATCGACTTTATTATTACAACATAACATAAAATAACGATTTTTTTATAGCGACGAATTTTCGAGTGATGTACTTAGTACATACATAATAAAAATAACAAAAATCAGATCATTAGTATTTGTTCGAAAAGTATCGAATCGTATGCTTAAAATACATACAATGCCTACGTCACTCGCTATTTGAAGAAAGAACTGTTTGCTATTATATATTTTCAATTGGACTTGAAAATATTACTTATTTGTACAATATTTACATGAAAAATGTAGATATCAGAACCTTTAGCGAAACAAACAGGACCATATTAGGAAAGAAGTGGAGGATTATGTATTTCGCAGTTGGGCATAGAAGTATTGCTTTTTTGTGCACAAGAAGACGGTATTTCCAAATCCATGTACGAAATGTATATTCCTTTAGTTTCTTTTTACAATGCTTGTGTGAATAATTTTTGAAGAGTTTGGATGTCTACATTTTATATGACTTTATGAAATAATTTTGAATAATCATGTAAATAGTAAAATTTCGAATATACTGGTAAATGCGCAAGAAACAAATATAATACCCATGTTATTAAAAATCATAACGAAAGAGCGACTGTGACAATTTTGTACAAAATTATCGAATATTCGTACAAATGTATGTTTTGCAAAAATAAATATTGTTACATTAAATTGTTTAATTTTCGTAAACATGTAGAAAAAAAGCAGACACAAATTTTTAAATACGAAGAGAATAGAAAAATACGAATATCACCGTAGAAATATGTTACTTATTTTAACAGATTATGTCTTTGCAATATTTTATCTGTGCTTATGTTTTGTTTAAACTTGAATCTTTAGTAATTAACGAATCAATACTCTAAAGTATTACAAATTAGTAGGAGATTGTATCATTTCATTATTTTATGCTTATTTAAAATATCCTCGATCTCGTCATTAATGTTGTCTTAAAGTATTATAAGCATGTGACAATTTCTATCATTTTACAATTTTAATTTTAAATTTATTTAAAAATTTCTCGCTTACATAAATTTAATGTTATTTTTAAAATAGTTTAAGTGTGTAGCAGATTGTATCATTTTATTATTTACATGTTGTTCTTATTTATAAATTTTTCAGCTATGGATTTAATGTTGTATGTAACGTATTACAAGTAGAAAATTGTATCATATCATTACCTTAATGTTACGTTTATTCAAAAATTTCTAGATTTTCTTAGGAATGTAATGCTATTGTTATTTGCGTCACAGATTCAAGTTTTGGTAGATAGATTTGCACGTGCAAATGATACATAAAAAATTCATGTATTATTTAAATGTAATTTTAGTTTGATTGTATTCACTACAGATACATATGGCATGTGATAATAATTTCTACATATATAATATATTATTTGTTTAGAAAAAATACATATATATAAGAAATCATGTTTCATATTTAATTATATTATACAAATATGTATTACGATTTTGTAAAAAGTAAAAAAAAGAAACGTTTAATTTTATGAGGATGAACATTAAGTGTTGATGTGATTTTTGATTGCTTTATAACAGTGCTTAATATTAGTTCAACTTTTAGCCGATTTTTCTGGTCACTTAATTTTCATTCTTTTACCGCGCGTGTCATAATAACTAGGGCCAACGCCGCATATTGCAAAATTTTTAAATTTAACATGTAACTAAATAATGAGTAGGTGTGTGTATAATCGCCCCGAGCAATGCGTAGAGCATTGTAAATTACAAAATAATTTTTTATTACACAATATAAAATCTAACAAAATAATTTTATCTTAGAATTTTTTGAATGCAATTGTTATTTGCATCTGTCTGTTACATAGATTCTGTTTGAATAAGAAATTTTACCATGAAATGCGAACTGTTTGACATTCGATCTTGAGATTCAAAATTGTTGTCTGATCACTTAACTACTAGTCTTGGATTTATTTTTTATTAATTTTTTCGTAATAACTTCGTATAGCATACATTATACGAAGTTATACGAAGGATGAACATTAAGTGTTGATGTGATTTTTGATTGCTTTATAAC